ACCCACAGCCATCCACACTTTTTCCACGCCGGGCTTCTCTTCAGGAATCTCTTCTTCCCAAAGCTGAGAGGAAAGGTAGGTTTCATTTCACCAAAGCACAAATTATTCTGACAAGGAATATGTACTTCTGGACAATTCACCCCTTTCTCAGCAATCCATTAAAATAAGCCAGATGAACTCCATCTAAGAGTGCCTATTTCTCTCTATTCATAACAGAGACAGCCTAAAATGAAAACCTCAGCAGTAAATGTTTGCTTGTTAAAGGCCATTACAACTGGATGATAAGCATTGTACTAAGCACCCTCCAAAAAGCTGTCAGCTAAATCTAGGTTGTTCTAAAGTGCTTTCTGCCACTGCATTCATCCTCCCTTCAATCTGCTCACTGTTCACAGCCTTTGGGTGTGTCAGAGGTCAAAAATGGGAGCTAACTTCACTTCTGTAGCATTGAATGTCTGCCTCTCGGATCTCCTTGGGAACTTTCAGGGACAGGGCAACCTTGGAAATATGTACAGACTGTGGGACGAGTCTGTAAAAAAGGATTGGAGGGTTCTGTTTGATGGCAAGCTTAACATGAGCCAGCAGAGTGCCCTGGCAGCCAAAAGGGCCAACTATACCCTGGGGTGCAGCAGGAACAACACTGCTAGCTGGTCAAGGGAAGGGATTGTCCTCTGGTGCAGCCTCACCTCGAGTACTGTGTGCAGTTTGGGGCACCACATTATAAAAAGGACATAAAACTCTTAGAGAGTGTCCAAAAGAGGGCTACAAAGATCATGAAGGGTCTAGAGGGCAAGACATATGAGTAGTGGCTGAGGACCCTTGGTTTGTTCAGCCCCGAGCAGAGCAGGCTGAGGGGAGGCCTCATGGCGGCCTGCAGCTCCTTCACAGGGGAGCGGAGGGGGAGGCGCTGAGCTCTGCTCTCTGGGGACAGCGACAGGACCCGAGGGAACAGCATGGAGCTGGGACAGGGGAGGGTCAGGCTCGGGGTTAGGGAAAGGTTCTGCACTCAGAGGGTGGTCGGGCACTGGGACAGGCTCCCCAGGGCAGTGGTCATGGCACCAAGCCTGCTGGAATTCAAGAAGTGTTTGGACAACGCTCTCAGATATCCCAGGTCTGATTTTTGGGTGGTCCTGCATGGATCCAGGAGTTGGACTCAATGATCCTTGTGGGTCTCTTCCAACTTGGGATATTCTGTGATTCTACGAAATTTCTCTCATAAACCAAGCATGCATTAATATTCAACTAAAAACCTAATTGCTCTCTCGAAATGAACATGTACATATTTCCAATCATTAACATCCCCTTTGATACCAATTGCAGTAAACATTTTAAATATGACAGCTTTTCTTAGAATTTTCATTACTATAACATGCACCTCAAAGGAAAACTGCATATAATTTGAAGCATATTAATGAACTCCAGTTTATGCCAGTTTATCCAAGAAGGTACCCTCATTGAGTTCATTTGAAAAACAATGCCTGATTCTTAGGGAATTAGACCTTTCACAATGTTCTGGGTACTGCAAGTTAAATTTGGTTAGTAATGGTGAAAAGACCCTTTTATGTTTGTGAAATTGCACCAAATCCTCTTATGTTACGTGTGCAACTTGTAAAGTTTGTTAGGACTATTATGTGCAGCCTAATCTCTGCTCAACACAACAAGAAATTTTCAATATTCTTTGTGGCATGAGAAGTACTAGGAAATAATTCAGCAGAACTACTCACTACAATTTTTTTTAAGCATGTTTTGCTATCAAATGTATGTTTAACATAGTCTTTTAAATCTGGTAACAACTTACCTTCCTTTTAATTGCTCCCTCAAGAATCATTGTTCTCTCATATGACCTATTAATAAAAATAATATACCAATAAAGGAATGAATATGTATAATATAATGTTTATTTATAAGATACTCTCTCTTCAGTAAGCTGTTCTGACACACTCCCCTCTCTGAAGACCTCATGAATTTGTAATTAACAAGGCCTTATTTTAAGAATTTCTTCTGCACTGATAAGTTTTCCACATTTCATGATCTTAACTATGAGGAAACTGTGCCTTATACTTAAATAGGAAGAAAAAAAAAATAAAATAAAAATAAAAATAATAATAACAAATAATAATTAGTAATAATAATAATAATAATAATAATAAAACAACAACAACAACAAAAACAAACAAACAAACAAACAAAAAAAAAAAACAAAAAAAAACAAAAAAACAAGAAGCTGTTTCACTCCAAGGGGAGTGAAATCTCTCCTTTCAATATTTTTAGGGTCAAGGCTGTCCCCCTGCCAAGCTGAATATGTGTGCATGAGGAGCAAAGAGCACCATCCCAGAGGGATGGGGGCAGTGTCTCTGGATGCCCTAGGAGGCAATTTGCCTTTTCCAGCAGCTCTTCTCTTCCCTGGGGGTGAGTAGTCCTTGCTCATTCCTGAAATCCTATTCAGCCTCTGACTGTCATGTTGCTCTGGCTGGTGTGGACACTTTCCCAGTCTGAAGGCCTTGGGTGGAAGTTGCATGGCTCACAAACACTTGTTTGTTGCTCTGATATTTTTCTAGTCCTGATCTATTCTTTTGTATAACATCAACACTTCAGATAAATATTCAGAAACCATTTATCATGCCTGAAGCTTTAATCTTCCACGACCAATTGAGCTATATCATTGAGTTTAATGTTAACTTTGAAGAACCCATTTTTTTCCCCAATTTTACTTTATAAAGCTGGCATGGATGAGACTTATCAATATCAACTCCATATTTTGTACATTTACTGTGTCACATATTAATTCAAGATCAGCACCCTACCCTTATTTTGCTGTAGAAGAGGACTGACAAAAAAGCACTGAGCCTCCCCAGTGCCTGGATTGCAAATACCAGAATTCATGGACCTTATCTGGTATAGTCTCTCTTTCTCCACTGAATAGTACATGCACATTTATGCCTTGACTAACCTCCTCATCCTTGGTGTGAGCTTAGGAGGAAGTAGAAATTGTCAAGAGATTAGTAGATGGCACTTAACACCTTCAGAATATGCTTACACTGCTTGCTACCACATCTGTAGAACCATAGCATTACGCTGCAGGCATTCACATATTTCTTCTCCTTTTCTTTGTCCACTATGCCTCAATTCTAGTATATTGGTTTATTTATTCCATGAAAAACATTACATATTTCAAAAATGAAAGCTTCTGGGAGAACACTTATTGTGCTCAAAGTCTCCCTGACTCCAAATGAGAGGTGACGGATAGCATTAACGAGCAGAGGAAAGGTGTTTGAATCTCTCATGTTTTGAAGATCAGGAATATTGTTACTTTTAATTAGAATAGAAGTGTTGTTATAAAAATGCTTGTTGAAGAAGCTCTTTTGGTTTCTGTTTTTTTTTTTGTTTGTTTGTTTGTTTGTTTGTTTGTTTTTTCTCTGATGATGCCTTCTGCTGTATAAAATTGTATTATATTCACTGAAAGACATAAATGGTGCATAAACTAATATAGTAATGCCTAAGCAGTTGTTCTTGCCTGAGACATCCAATCACATATGCCCTTCTTGATTTACTGACACAGTTACAGGAAGGTGATGTGCTGATGTTTGACCTCCATTTCATAGGAGAGAGGGAACTGCTGACAGATGTTGAACTTACAGGCTTGCAAGTCTGCAACGCTTCCCCGTCCTTTGCCAGGAATAGCTTTGATTAGCTGATTTTCAGAACGTGCTTCAGTACCTATTAGTTTTGCCTGGTTCTTGACAAAACATAGCACTAGGCAATGATTTTTATTTTTATTTTTTTAATATTCATTTTTCTGTTGTCTTTTTTTTTCTTATTTCTTTTTTTTTTTTTCTGCACACTTATGTGTATAACAGAACAAGCAAAACAAGCACATTACTCTTCATCAAAATATGATACATTTCTTATTAAACAATGTTACTTGAACTATATTCTGCATTTCTAATCATCTTTGACACCGAGGCTCCCTCTTTTTTTTTCTATGATAGCAATAATTTGGATTCATTTTTGTCCTAGTAATGAATGAAAGTGGTGTGTAAATTCTATTCCCAGACTAGCCAGATTAACAACTGTAAAACCCTTCAATCCTCTAGTTGGCAAGTGATTTATTGACATGACATTCAAATGTGTTTTGCTTCAGCATTAATGACAGGAGTTCCAGAACTTTTGTCACTGAGGTGATAAATGGATCCTTATACATACAGCCTTGAAAAACTGGGACTGGTGCCATTTTTTCCCTTTACTTTATTGAAAAGCACATCCCTTTACATTTATAGGAAGTAGCAACTTCTTTTTCTCTCTGTGATTATAATACATCACCATTTTGTTTATGCACGGTTAATCACTTTATTTGACTTGTTGTTATTGGGAGGGTATAGGTTAGCATGCAGGAAAGTACACTGAAAACAGCTGTTGCAGGACTGATTTTTGACCTTGAAAAGGATAACTGGAATGAATAAACCAGCCTAATCAAATGCAATGGTAGTAAAACTGCTATAGTCATGAAACACATTGGCAATGCATTTTCTACTGTGTCTGTTTTAAGTATATCTATACAACCTTATAAAAAGGATTCCCAAGGACACACTGTTCCTAAACTGATGTAAAACCATTGAAACTATAGCAGTTGATAAAATATTTATGCAAATGAAAAATAGCAGATTTAATCATAATGATATGAAAGCTCTCTAAGATTTGCAAAACTATATTCAAGACTGACAAACAGTGAGTTTCAATCAAAGAGAAAAGATAGATTTTTATTTTTTTTTTAACATTTTACTCTTTTTTACTCAGAAAAACAGTTTGCTCAAAGCCCCATCCAGTCTGACCTTGAACACCTCCAGGGAAAGGGCATCCAAAGCTTCTCTGGGCAACCTGTGCCAGTGCCTCACTGCCCTTACAGTGAAAAATTTCCTTCTTACGTCTAATCTAAATCTATCCACTTTTAGTTTAAGACCATTCCCCTTTGTCCTATCATTATGGAACCGAGTAAGAGTCTTTCTCCATCCTTTTTTATAGGACCCATTTAAGTACTGGAAGGCTGCAACGAGGTATCCCTGGAGCCTTCTCTTCTCCAGCCTGAACATCCCCAACTCTCTCAGCCTTTCTTCAGAAGAGAGGTGCTTCAGTCCTCTGAGCGTCTTGTAGCCCTCTCTGGATTCACTCCAACAGCCCCACATCCCAGACCTGGACACAGCACTCCAGGTAGGGCCTCACAAGGGCAGAGCAGAGGGTCACAATCATCTCCCTGCTGGCCACCCTCTGTTGATTCAGCCCTGGATGCAGTTGGCCTTCTGGGCTGCAGGCACACACTGCTGGCTCATGTCGAGCTTTTTGTCCACCAGAACCCCCAAGTCCTTCTCTGCAGGGCTGCTCTCAGTGAGTTCTTCTCCCAGTCTGTGCTCACATCTGGACTTGCCCCATCCCAAGTGCAGCACCTTGCTCTTGGACTTGTTGAACTTCATGCGGTTCACATGGGCCCAGTTTTGTAAAAATATTCTGTATTCATTGAAGTGAACTCTGTTTTCAAAAGAAAGAAACAAACAAAAAAATCATGCTGCAATTGTTTTTATTTAGGCAAATTTATTGAAATTGAAGAAAAGTAAAAATACAATGGTCAAACAAAAATGAACCACTTTTATGCTCAAATATTTCAGTGAACCCCATTCTTTCTTACTATTAGTGGTGACCATGTTGAAGAAATTTTCTCTGTTGACTGTTTGACCTGGTTTGGGAATGAACAGTGAATTTAAAAAAAGTGGTTTCCCAGAACAAGAAAACCATTATCTGTTCTTCTGTCCTAATGAAATATTGTAGTAAACCCAATCAGCTAGCATGGGTCATTTGGTATTTTGAAAAGGTGCCATGTTCAGATGTCCCCGATAGGCTTACACCCTTTTCTGGTATTGCTTACACCAGGTGTTTCACAACTCAGTCACAGCACTGCTCTTGATGCATGCTGAAAGGACCCTCGTGCCAGCTTGCAAAGGCAGGAGAAGGCAGGTGAAAGAATCAATGTCAGCTGCCCCAAAATCACGCTTTACAGCCAGGGTCATGCCAGTGTGATTCAGTCACTTGCTCTGCTCTGAAGCTTGGTAGAAAACACTGCCCGGACCAGCAACAGCTTCTGCATCTGCAATGCAGACAATCCATTACAAGCACAAACAGTCCAGTGGTTTAAAAGACAGGGCCAATATTTTTTGAATATATCTGGAATTTCTAACATGAAAAATTGGGATGAAACTCCTGGATCAACCAACTTTCCTTTCTCCAGTGAATCTGCAGCTATTCTGCATAGTTTTCCATGCATATCCATGCATCTGGAAGAGGGATAGGTGGAAAATAGAAAATGCCCTTGCATGGAAAAAGCTTGAAAGCAACAAGAAGTGAAATGAACTTTGATGTACCCCAAAAAGGTTTAATACATATTTGTCTGTTGGGTGAAATAAATTGATGCTTTATTTATTTATTTATCCATCCTTCATACTAGTAACATAACAATTTTGTTAGTGATTTTTATATCTTTAGCTTGGAAAAACTTGATCGAAATCATTTCTGCTATATTTCTGAATGCCTGTTTGTTCAGAAAAATGAAGGTAGTTCCTCCGGCAATCAGATTTCCATGTAAAACTATCTGCTATGATTCCCAAGAGCTTTATTATATGTGAAAGATTAAATGTCATTTTCCCAAGTCTATGCAGGTTTTCCAAGTCTTATAGGAAACACTCCTACTGTTCAATAGTGCAGAATGCAGTTTAAGTGTAAGGTCAGCATTAGGTGAGAGGGAAATATGAGCTGTTTTATACTTGAACACAAACCACAGGCCTTAGAAAATACTGGTACAGTTTCAGTGCTGGGAGAAAAAATGATGATACATTTTTTACTGTTATGAAAAGCCTGATAAAGACTTAAATACGGTCATAGATATTTAAATAAAGTTTCTATTACACTGCTTCCTGATATTTTGTCAGATCAGATGGATGCAGGCAACATAGTATTACCAACCCCAGTCCCACACTAAAATCCTTGAAAGGATCTGAACATATCTGTAGGAGTGCATGGATTTGTTTTGCTAATTTTGCTTTAAAAAAAAAATAAATAAATTATTTTTCTATCTTGTCCATACCTAGAATTTAAACTGGAGACATAATGATGCTGCAAAGTAGCATATTTTGATAACAGGTAGCACCTTACTTGTAGCTTGTGTTGCTCATCACTGGCTGCCTTTCTTAGAGGTGGCTGCTAAGGGCTGGAGGCTTTGTGTTGTCCTCATCAAAGCTGCTGCTTTGCAGTCTCTTGTAGCCAGCCTCCCATGACCTGTTTTCAGGGAGAGGAGCAGGTGGAGAAGCCATCACGAAAGCAGTGGTTAAGATTAGGTTATGATATATCAGCTTGTTTAGTATTTGTTAATACATTGTTAATGCAATGTTTATTATACATACATATACTTGGAAAGAGTGATCTCTGGGAAAAAGATGAGGTGAGTGACTTGGGGGAACCAAAGGGCTGAGGAGGAATTCTGACCTCAGTTACTCAGATGAATGATGGCAAGTGAATTACGGTGTTAAGCAATGTAAAATCATGGCTGTTGAAAAGCATGAACTACCCAGACATTAGAGCATTCTCAATTAACCTTATCAGCCCAGCAAAGAGGCCAGGTTCTCGCTGTAGCTCCATTAAGGCTCTGCTGACTGCAGTCAATAAAAGACAGGATATGCCACAGAGATAAGAATGGGGCGATAAAGGCTGCAGATGTTATAATGCCGTAACCAAATGTGCAGCCCTGTCTCTAATACAATCAGAGGTACTAGGGAGAGGGACAGAAAGTTCAGAAAAGAGTGGTGGAACCAGAAGCCTGTGAGGTAGAACTCACAGCAGCAGAAAGAAAAAAAAAAAAAACAGGACTTTAAAAAGATTTGGAAGTGATTATAAGGACTGATAACCTAGAAACCTGACTGAAATACCTAGAAAAAACTCATGCATAGGCTAATCTTTATTGGATCAGGAGGAGATACAATGATGAGGGACACCTATCCCACCTGCACTTGCTGAGAATTTCTTAAATCTTATATTGCGACTGCTGTTGCTGGATAGTGGTTGATAGCACTGCACAGCACCTCTAGCATAACAATTCCCACATTTCTATATCAGCTGAAAATTAAAGAGGAGGAATGGGATAGAGTTGCTAATGCAGCTGTTCGTGGCTTTACCACCTAAACCTCTCCAAAATTATTTTTAAGAGCTCCCTTGAATTTCAATGGAAAGTTACTGTGCACATGCTTTCTTTGTGCCTGTTCAGCCATAAATCAAAAAAGAATCTTTCCGTCAAAAGACCAGCATGAGACCAACCTCTGAACGCTAACCTCAGAAAAGTAGTCTTGTGCTGCTACAAAATTAGACACTTCTGTGTCTGTTCTGAATAAACTGTTAACCCTCACCATTTTTCCAGCGCTAATAGAAATAATTATTGCTATTTACCATTGTTGCTCAATCTTTTGAAAGTATGTGGTTAGGTGGTGTCCTACCTTGAGAAGCTTTTGCACAGGTTGCATATGCACAATTAAAATTAAAGAGGCACAAATACATTGTAGTTAATAAGCCATAAAGATCTATTTGAAATAGGGCTTTTAAGATGTGATTTGAACACAATGATAGAAAGCACCTGATGTGTGAAAAGTCCTAGATTCAGGAAATAAAAAAGAAAAAAATAAAAAATAATGATAATGCACTGGAAAGGGAAGCACTGATGTATTTGCTCTCTATATGTACTTTAGAAGCTAAACTAATTATACATCCAGTGGAATCAAAACCCAAACTTTATCTATTTCTAATTAATTGCTTTTTCACGGTCCGACGAGACTTTTGACACTATATTTGATGCAAGATTTGGAAAATGCTGACATTCACAAAGTTATCTACTGTCTAAACCAGACTGGGTTTGAACCCATGCTCCGGGGTCTGAAGAAGAGCTGGGTTTGGCTGAGTGCCCTCTGATAGGGAACTGCTGCTGCTGAGCAGAGCTGTCAGCTCCTTCATTTTAAAATGCTAGGGGGAGCCTGGCTCGATTTTGAAATTAGACACCTTGCTGTCTAATTCAAGAGCATGTTTGGAGCTATAAGTCCAGAGGTAGCATCATTTGCATAAAAAAAAAATAAAAAAATCCAAACAGAGGTAGAATTAAAGAAACATCTCTCTGTGTTTCCTCTGAGCTAGCTGAGTTGTCTTCCTGCTCAGTGAGCTGCTGGTCCTGAATCCCACTGGTAGCACCCACCATTTCTCATGCCCTGCAGAGTGAGCCACAAAGTCTTACCCAAGGCATCAGACTCCTTTTTGGGAGGCAGGGGGCTTTGCATCACCCTCTTGGAGGCACAGCTGTGTTGCCCCTTCCAACAGAGCTGGGGAAAACCTGAGCAGAGCCTGGCACTCGAGAACCCTCTTAATAAACAATAACAGAAGTAGCACAAAAAAATCAACATAGCATCGCATGCATTTTTTTACCAAACTGGGATATGAAGATCATATGGTCCATAAACAGACTGACGGTGCAGAACAAAATGCGAAGATCATGTGGTCTGACATTCAGGGTGATGCACGTCAGAAAAAAAAAAAAAAGAAAAAAAAAAGAAAAAAAGAAGAAAAAAAATCACTCTGTGAGTTCTGCATAAAGGCCAGAACTTCTGTTTGGATAGAGGAGAATAGATCCAGTCTTGATTTAAGGACTTAATGTCTCCACACTCAGGGGCAAACTGTTCCAGTGAGTAATTATCCACCCTTGCTGCTAGGAATGTGCTATTTCTGGTTTGATTTTGTTTAGCTTCTGCTTCTATTTCATCTGCTTTTCTTCTTCTTTTTTTCCCCTTTCTTCTGTTTTCTTCTCTCCTTGAAAAATTTAAGAGCCAGCCCCAGTCACTAATCTTTTTTCCCATGTTGGCACTATTAGACTGTGACTGAATTACTGCTTAGCCGAATTATGGCTGAGCACCTCGGATTTTGGTATCTAAATCAGACTTCCCAGAGCACAGATTATTCTTGTTGCTCTTTCTAAAGCTCATTCTGTTTGCCATTTTCTCTGTGACACCAGAATCGGACAGTTACAGCAATGGATGTGGTTGTATCACACAGAGAGGTAATATCCCCTCTCTGCTGTAGGGACGTTTTATTAATCTCTTAACCCAAGGATCCCACTTGTTGGGATGAAGAGTTTCTTTTTACCCTATGTTGAGTCTGATGGACTGGGGCCACCTCTTACAAGGAGGGAAGAGGTGGAAATTTGTTTAGAGAAAAATTTGGCAGAGAGCTGCTGCTCCTTCTAGAAAGGGGTTGGGGAGAGCATTCTGCTGGCAATGTACTGCCTGTGGGGTCTGGAAGCTTACAACAACTAAGGCATGGGATCTGCTGCCTGTGAAAGCCTGGGGAAGGAGACTGGCACACCAGGGCAGGTTTTGGCAGTGTGAGCTCTAAGGACGAGGTGTGTGTGGTGCTGGACCCTGGGAGTGCCTCTAGCTGGCCCAGGCCACCAGGCTCTCCTTGAGGACCAGGCTGTACCTGGAGGGGAGCTTCCTCCTCAGAAACATTTCATATTAATGATCCTATGTTATCTCTTACTTGCTCTCTCCTTTCTCCAATTCCTTTCTGCTCAAATACGCCCATGCAAGGCATGGCTGTCATTCCTCTGACTGCGGCAGCTATCTTCTCCTTGGGCCTGCAAGCCAAACTCGCTGCACAGCTGCTGGAGAAAGCCAGCTTCCCACTGGACAAATGCCTCTGAACTTTGTCAACTCTATTGCACTGTGAATATCGGTGTTGCAAAACTCCCATCTGACGTGCAGTGATAAGGTATGTGAATGCCCTGTGTTTTTTAAGAAAAAAAAAAAAGGATAAAGTTATAACTACTTACCAGTAACTACCTTTAACTGCTCTCTATCTTTTATGAACAGAGTCCTTTATGCACATTACCTCTGTTTTCTTAAACAAAATAATTCAAAATAGTTCAACAGCTATTTTCTTCAGGTGTATTTCAACCTACTGCTTATCTAAAAGAGAATTAAAGAAATGAGACGTGTGCTGTCACTTATCCTCAGGTATGAGGGTAATGGGCTACCTAAATCACCTGTTATTACTTCTATTCCAGGATTGGATGAATCACATTTTTATAAACAGAAGGAAATATATCCAAGAGATTTCCAGATAGCCTTTGGGGTCATTAAGACTAAGTAGCTGGTCGCATTAGTAATTTCACTGTGTGTTATCTGCATCTTTAGGCTTTGAATCATCTCTCAGTTTGGCTGTATGTGCCTAAGCCAATTTTGAAAAAGGAAATTAGGTTCCTAATTTTGAAAGCTGAATGACATCAGAGTGAATTAGGCTCTAAAATCTGGCTTGGCTCTGTTCTTTATTTATGCCACGACTGCAAGGCAATCAAAGGCAGCCTTGCCTCTGCAAGAAGTTGTAACTTCTTCTCTTTTACATTGGAGAAGTTCTCCTAAATATGTAATATATCCAGCCATGAAATTTGGTAATGTATTTATGTGCTGTTATAACTAATATAGGCATTCTTAATTAATAAGTCACAATGTCTTACTGGGTCCCTACTCACAAAGTGGCATGCAGCTCAGTTAAAAGGAAATCGCCAGGCAAAGCTCTAGTGAGTGCTTTAGAAATACTGTAATGGCTGCACTGCAATTAATGAAGTGTTAGAGATAATCCATTGCCATCTGTCTTTATTTTGCTAAGCCACTCAAGTAGAGACCATATTCGAGGGAAGAAAAGAAAATCCAGGGCTAGAAGAATACCGAAAATGAGTATTCAGCAACATTTGTTCCCCCTCTGACCAGCTGTTCAGCACGATCGTGTTCATACCACCTTTTATTCGCCATTCACTGTCGTTCTCACAAACAGGGTTACTCCTCAGACAAATACCTAATTGCGAAGAAACAAGTTCCCATTCTCCTATTCACCCTGCTTTTGCCTCCCAGGCAGGGGCCCAAATTGGACCATATGACTTCCCTGGTGGACGGTGGGCTCGCAGCGACCTGTGAGCAGGTCTGAGGTGAGGCTTGCACAAAGGGTTCTGGTGCAGGAGTCCCCAGGACTTGCTGTGCCTGATCCTCGAGTGAAAGAGAGAATAATGGCAGAAAGGCCTGAGACTGGCAGGCAGACGGCTCACTAAACCAGCCAGCTGTAGGGTTTCCTCAGCTCACAGTGGGACTGCAGCCTGTGAGCATGTAAAGGCTGGTCTGAAGGTGGGAAGCTGTTCCCTTTGTCTTCTTTTTTACCAGTGAAATGCAGTGAGGGCAGTAAGACATATCTGTACATACATGGTGGCATATATCCATCCATCCATCTGTATTTATGGTGGCAGTGCTGCATGGGGTATAGATGGAGTTCCACTTTATCTGGGCATCTCAGAAGTCATAATTATATTTATTTATTTATTTTTTCCCCCTGCTCTGCTTTCTGTCCTTCAGAGAGAGGGGAATCACCTCTGTGTTCTACTTACCCAGCTTGTGTCTGTAGCTTAGGGATATGGTTTAGTGGGGACTATTAGCGTTAGGTCAGAGATTGGACTCGATGATCTTGAGGTCTTCCAACCTAGAAATTCTGTGATTCTGTGTTCATCAAATGAAGGTACAATTAAATCATAAGTATACTCAAACCACTTTGATGTGACCCAGGACTTTTATTTTATTATTTTATTTTATTTTATTTTATTTTATTTTATTTTATTTTATTTTATTTTATTTTATTTTATTTTATTTATTATTTATTTATTATTATTATTATTTTTTCCAAAAGATTCCTTAATCTTTGTCTGGGAAACTGACCTACAGAGTCCTACTAATCCAAACAGAAGATACAGGCTAATATTTGATAAGTCTGCAGCTGTTTTCAATACAATGATTTTTATGACAAGGGTGCCAAAAACTGTGGTAAAAGCAGAAAATGGTTGGTGAGCATCTAAAACAGAGTTTGGAAAACACTGACCTTTATGAGTATTTACTCCACTCTGTGCAATTGTCTAAATGTAACACTGACAGTTTTATTACCTACTGTATTGTAATAAACCAAAATTCAATATTCTTGTTTCACTACAACTATTATTTTGGAGCATCTTGAAACATGATGCTCTTCATGTCCAGAAACATAAAATACAGCAATTCGAGATACACCACACTGTTTGCCAAATAGATTTTGACAAAGGTGCTTCATCAATATTTTACTGAGAATGAAAAATGAACGTCCCCATTTTATATATTCTCTCAGGAGCCTGCCAACCTCTCGCTATGCTCCAAGGGAAAACTCAGTGCTTCTGAAGTGATAAAGTCTTTCATGCAACCTTTCAAGAAGGCTTCAATGCCACATGTCCATTATTTTTCATTTATTTTTTTTTTTTTAACAGGAACTTTTCCACGAACTCATATCTGGCATATTTTTGAGTAGTAATCATAGCAAAGCAGCACCTTGGCTGCATACGTATTCATTCCTGCAGAGATTTGCATTTCGATTTTACCTGTATGCGTAATGAATTTTGACAGCTCAGCCTGTCAGTAAAAATAAAGGCTGTTTTCAAAGAGTAGGTCTGCTGATGCACCACCCAGCTGAACATGCTACAAATGTCTAACAATTTCATTAGGGAGAGGAACGTTTTGAATCTGTTTGTCCCCATTTCTTAACTCTGGTTTATTATAATGTTTTATAGGGTGAAGTAATTCCAAGTGCTGAACAAACTCTGAGGAATGAAGTACACCCATAACTTGTTGATGGCAAAATGTTCCCACCTTTACAATTCATACGCGTTTTCTCCATGGTTAGCTCCTTCAGGGGGAATATGTGCATGTGGCAGAGGGGCAGACACATTGCCTGTTACAGGCTGTTCCAGAAATGTAATGAAAATGCTCTGAATGGCTCCCTGGAGGCTTCTGTCTCCTTTCACTGGCAAGCCTGAGGAGAGAAGACATCTAATTTTTTCTTAGAATTGCAGGTGTCTAAAGGAGACAGGGTGGAAAACATCCTTGGAAACTGCAAAATGTGCTGTTCACTGGAAACCTGGCAAACATGCCTGCCTACAGAGGCAACACCATAGCAGCTGAAGTCCTCCTTTGGAGAGGGTGCCAATGGGGACAGATAACCACTCGTTCTTAGCTGTCACTCAGCCCTTGACTATCGAGTGATCTACCATGGGTGTCAGCTAACGCTGGTTTTAATATTTGGGTCTCTGTGATGGAAGGAAGGAGTTGGACTGAAACAGTTCCTTTCTGAAGACCAGAAATATCCTTTGACTGACCTCAATCAAATTTCTGTGAGTGATGTGGTTTCTAATGAGACCTCTATTATTTTGCATAGAAAAAAAAGTGCTATGTGCCATAAACCTCTGGAAAGAGTGAACAAAGCCATGGCTCATCACTGGTCAAAAGCAGATTTTGGTGCATCATTCTGGAATGGAGCTCTGCCCGCATCCTCTTTATGTGTAGTATTTCTCTTTAAACGTTTTTTCAGAGTCAGCACGTTGGTCACTCCAGCATGGAAAAGAATCCTCATTTGTTAAGTGTAAGTGATATAAAAGCTGCAAGCACACATAAAACATCTTAGATCATGGAGATTTTCTCAGAAGTGACTGCTAATCAGGGAGATGAGCTGACAGACAGGGAGATAGTTGATGTGGTAGTAAGGCCATGACATAAATCTTTTTGAGGAAAGGGAATAGCTGGTTACCCAAAATGAAAGAGAATGTCAGATATTCAGCAAGTTGGATAAAAGCCTAGTTTGCAGTGAACTTGCACATACAGAATATCTACTCACGGAGGACAGCACGAGTAAATCAGAGCATCTGTTTTCCCAGCCTTCATGTTCAGTAGTGTTCTGGTCTATCTTAACTGGTTTGAAGAGGTCAGCAGTTCACTGCATCTGAGTGCATGTTTGTCTCCTTAAATGATCTTTAGGATCATGTTTACTTGCTTATTTCAGATGTGTTTATTTCTGTGTACCCACTGAAAACTGGCTGCTGTGCATTTTGATTCTGTAAGATGCAGAGTACTGCACATCCCTCTATCTGAGGGCACAGTTAAGCCCTTAGAACAGCTGAATTGTGTCTTTGTACAACAGGGGATTTGATAATTGGGCAGATGAAGCATGAAGGAATGAAGCTAGAGAGCTGGTGGCACAAATTCCAGTCTGAATCCAGCGAATCACATCATAAGATTTTTTTTTTTTCCCTTTAAAACTTCCTTACAGCAGGACTGTAATGGAGATAAAGAAAATGTTATTCACTGCTATGGTATCATTCAAGTGTCATTCTTTTAGCAGCATGCTGTAATGCTCGTAAGCAGGCACAGGGAAGCAGCCAAAGGAGTCTTTAGGCTATCTGCCTTTATAATTGCTTCTGCTGAGCAAAAAGCTAAGGCCATGCAGTATCTGCATGACAAGTAGCAGGGGTATGTCAAAAACACAGCCTGTTATGCTTGGGGTGCAGTTAGAGATAATCATTGGTTGGCTTATAGTTTTAATCAGCAATGATTAAATGTGTCTCTGCCAGATATGTAGAAAAAACAGCTGTAACATTCATGTCAATGCTGCATCCAGATTCCATAGCCAGTCATACATGGGAAAAGAGTAGGGAAATATTTTGAGGCAGCGCCAGCACATGGATATTAGGTTATTACTTGAATTGACTACATCAGCAAATGCACAGAAGTATCACTTACCAGGCAAGTTTCTCTTGGTAAGTCTCTGATAGTGGATTTCAGTTCACATAAACGGAGTTTCTAGAGCTTCCTAAGGAAAGAAATATTAGGAACAGACATCCCATTTATCATCCTTAGGCCAGTGGGGACACTGAATATTTTAACTAAGTTTTGACAAATTGTGTGCAAGTCGGTGATCTAGGAATGAAGTTCTGGAAACCATTGGCTATACATTTGTAAAAACAAGTAGGAAATTTAATATGTTAGGAGCCAGATGGAAGGAGTATGCCAGCGTCATGCAGAGAGAAACTTACACCAGAGACGGGGAATAAACTGCAGTTATAATTACGGAAAGAAATTTTGGCTGCACTGAAGGATGTTTTGCCATTGATTTTGCAGAGAGTAGGATTTCATACAGACTATGTAGGAGTGAACAATGTTAACAGTATGTTAGGATCATATCTCTAAGACAGATGCAGGTATAAACTAAAGGACAGATGCCCCAGAGAGAGCAATAACAGTTAGGAGCTAGAAAGTTTCCCTGAAAAATGAAGTTTGTACATGTTTTGGTAAAGGCATTTTTATGCCCCACAGTGTAATTTGTGAAAATATGTTTCCAAGAAGTGTTTTGCTTCTTCATTGTTTTAAATTTGGTGGGTTCAAGCTGGTTTACATAAAAGGAAGGAAGAGTCCAATACTTAGATAAGTACTTGTTTGCTGTAGGAAAAAAGGATTCAGCAATTGACTTATGCTGAACGTAATTGCACCAAGTGCCGATTCCGGCAAAGAAGTTTCACATCAGCATAAAAACTGACAGCACTGTGTATGTTGATGCTAGCTTTGTGTAGGGCTGTTATATATCACTGACTCTGCAGAAGACCAGCCAGGCTGCCCCTTCTTTCCAAACATGCCAGCAAGTCCTGAGGGCTGTTAGCTGAGTGTTCCCACAACAGACCTCTAAAAAATACATTATTTTCCAGGTCTGAGATATCAGTGCGGTACAAAATGCTTTTCACAATGCTTCTGTTTTAAAACCTGTAATAAGCGTTCTCATTTTACTTGTGCAGAGTTATGTCGCATGATGTAAAGCAGCAAGACACAGACCACAGAGGAACTATGTGTGACGTTATGAAGTTGACAAACATAAACCGAACTTTGTTTTTAACCGTGTGAAAAGCACTAAGGGTACATCTTGCTCACTCCAGACCACTGAATGAGTAGGTGGTCCCTGAGCTCCACAGAGGTGCAAGGATAATGACTCTGTGATACCAGTGCTTGAGTGGCCACCTTCACCCAGGGCAGCACCTCATGAAGAGGACATTATCTTAAAAAGACTTAATGCATTGCTCTTTTGTCTCCTGGTGGCTCTATGGGCACGTAAGCTGTTACATTGCTTTGCATGTGAAGGTGTCCTTACATCCCTTCAGTAATACGGGTGCCCATCATCCTGAAATGACAAATATCAGCACCGGCTTTACAGATTAAGGGCAGAGGAATGAGATGTGCTTTGAGGAGCAGGTTGACTCACTGAAGAGTCCTGGAAGAACTTCCCTCTGTAGAGAAGACTTCTTTTACATTCACTGATTCTGAACAGATGAAATAGACTATCACATAGCATTAATGTAGCCAGACATTTCCCCTACATTAGCTCCCTTAGGTTTATGTGGGATGAAGAGAGCAACCAGAAGAGCTCATAGGGCTCACAGCTCTCCATTAAGCCAGTGAGGTACCAGTGCAAGACCTCTTAGACTGAAGGGCTCAGACCTTTGTCTCTATCTGCAGTCCTCATGCGTCTTGTAAATCCAGCTCTTGTATAGGATCAGGACTTGAAAACTGCCCTCTTCTAAGTGCTGGCATCTCTTGAGACACTTTTTGCAAGTCTGCAAAGCTTTTAACTTCCCATTTCCATGCTGGAAAATGAAAAGGGGGAAAAAATATTTTACATGATATTATGGGGTTTTCAATACATAAATTCAAGGAACATGGAAAATAAGTGCATGTTGAAAGAACAGATGGGACTCTGCCAGAACCTCAGCCAAGATTCAGTGCAGCTGTGGCTCAACTGATGGGAAAAAGGTCAGGCAGTCTCTCTATATCAGCCCTATCAGTCTGGCTGCTCAGAGTATCAATTCTCTCCACTGCTGTCAGATTATACACTGAGGAGGAGAGGAAAATCAACTTGCTCCCTGGAATGCAAGAAGAGGAATGGTTTTGCTGCCCAGCCTCACATTTTTGAACCATGATTCTGCTGATATCAGCAGCAGAGTGCTGATTCATCTTCTCTTTTGCTGTTGCCTTGGTCCTATGAAAAGACAAAAAAGTCACTACTGTGATGGGCTAAAATAAAGCTGAGCTTTAAAGATACTACCATTTTTGCACCAGGGAGTGAAGATCCCTTAAAAGACACAACAAATGGACACACTAATGATATGTTCATGTTACAGGGGATGGTGATAATTTTAACCATTGACTGGGAGTGGTGTGGTTCTGTACACTGGAGTGGGACCTGTTCATACAGGAAAGCCCAGAAAGGAGGGGGTTGTATGCTCTGACTTCCATTCAAATTTTCAGGTGATATGTGGCACTATTAAAATCAGTGGCAACATTAAGACTGAGCACAGCAGAGTCACAGCTAGAATCTGAATATGGACATGCTACACTTCAGTCCTTGGAGAAGTCTGGATATGGTTTGAATGAAATTTAAATGAATGGCCCATAGCTGGTGACATCCTCCCTACAAAGAGCTGACTCAGAGCAATGCTGATGGGGAAGTCACAGCCACTCTGTGCTGGTAATTCCCATGTTTGGATGAGGAAAATGAGTGCAAATGAGATTCTTGTCCACCCACCATGTGCAAAGTCCACAAACAGCTTCTGTTTCTCTGTCACATGAGTTTCAGTTGTTTTCATACCAATAATATAACAAAAATTAGAAGTTCTGGACACACACACGCAGACACACAAATACCAGCAAGCTTTTTGTTATAATGTCAGATAGTTTCCAGTAGCAGGAGATTGTTAGGCCACTTTCTCAAAGATTTTGGCCCAATTTTTATCTCTTTCCTGACAGAATAATTTCACAGACTTCAAGAGATATGATTCTCACTTATCCAAGCAAGGTACCACATAGGCCTGAAAAGTCCCCAGAAGTTAAGCAGGCAAATTTATTTCCAGATGCTTTTCTGACTTCAATGAAAATTGAAGGTTTTAGTCTTGTATGTCTAAATATAACAGTAAAGATTTGCTTGCCTTCACAAATGAATAATATTCTGGGTTATTACCTGTGGGTTTCAACAGCTATTTCTGCATATAAGTAAATACTTTTTTTTCCAATAGAAAGGAACATACAATAAATATAACTGACCACATTTGTTAAAGGTTACTAAAGGGTTGAGTCCATATCCTGTTTTTAAGGCAATTTTTCTTTTTAGCAGTGTATTGGGTTTACATGGCAAAGTTTTGGTAGCAAAGGGGCTGAAGGGGGGGTCTTCTGTGAGAAAAGTAAAATGTCTCATTCCCAATCCCTCTGCCCTTGTTCTAGCTTCACCCCAACCCCACCACTGCCTGCTGTGCTGGTGTTGATTCACCCCAGAGTGTTCATGTGCAGCTCACTAAGCCAGCAAAACCTTTTTTTTTTTTTTTTTTTTAACCTCTATTTTTGTTTGTTTGTTTGTTTGTTTGTTTGTTTTTTTCCCTCTAGTTTAATGAGTTGAATCAGCTCCCTGGGAGGTCAGAGTGAGGTGAGAATGGAAAGGAGGAGGAAGAGGAGGAGGAAGCAGGAAGGCAGCTTCAGCAATACCAAACTCTCCAGCTAAGGTCAGCCCAACTCAACTAATCACTTTTTGACTTGATTCACATAAAACTGAGATAAACCTGAAATGAAAATGTTTAACACACTCAAGACCTACTTCCCACCTTCATATATCATAGAGAAGAATAGTTTATATATACACATTTTCCAATCCCTTCACATGTATTTCAATACTAATATAAATGTCCACATCTTGGTTTTTGTAACATTCAACAAGAAACAAATTCTCAGTCCCTGTCAGGTGTGTGATTTTTCTGGGTTGGTGCCCTATTCAGTGGGGTCCATTCAGCGGGAACTAGTTCATTTCTTTGGGAGTTAATCCTGAAAAGCTCTGGGGCAGCCTAAGACAAAGAAGGATTGATCAAAAAACAGACACAGCAGTCATTTATTTGGTGATGTGGTCTGAATAAGAGACGAACTGTAATGGGTTATTTAAACAAGCCTGCTTTATTGTCTTTGTGCTAACAAGATTCTATGACATTACAGAAGGAGATCATCAAAAGGTCCAGTAAAGTTCCCTGCCCTTTAGTGTAAAATTTCACCAATTTCCTCCAGGCAAAAATCTGCTGACTAGCAGCATCTGTCCTGTGCTGCACAGGCACATTTACTACAAGTGAGATTGTGCTTCCTTCCACATTTAACAAAGGCAAATGCAGGAAGAATTGCTTGCTGGGTATATACATGTGTGCTTATATATAACACTGTGTACACATAAATATATTGGGGCATGTGTTTGTGTTCATATGTATAATATATATACATGTATATAAATGCATATATGAGCAGGAATGCATATTGGTATTAAACTAGACATAAAAGAAAATGGCTTAGAATAGGCCAAAACTGTGAGGAAGGAAGGAAGGAAGCTTGTACGTTTCTGCTACTGTAATCTCTCTTTGGGTCAACTATGTTGTCAGCAGGAAAAACATTGCTTTGTTAGCCTGTGTCTGCAAGAAAAAAAAAATACATTCTGCTTAGTGCCATCTGTCCCACTTCTGTGACTTAGGCTAGTAGGATGGCTAGCACCAGGAAGTTTTAGCAGGGCTGTCATTGTATCTAAGTGAAAATGGTCGGCATTTGATATGTGGAATGAGTTGAGATAGTGCAGAGAAAACCAGCTGAAATGAGAAGAGATCAGAAAACATGACCTGTGAGCATTGAAGGACTTGGACTTGTTTATCCTAAAAGAGAAAGATTAAGGAGAAGACAAAATAATAGCCTAAAAATAAAAATGAAAATGAAAAGGGGACTTAACTGTCTCAATAACCCCTGTGAATCAGACAGAAAAGGGAAATTTAGGTTACAGATTATGAAAATTTTCTTCTGGGAGCAAATACCTATGTTCTGGCATATCCAGGTAGGAAGTGGGATTGCCAGCACCAAGCTCTTCAAGAATAAAACAGAAGAAAAACTATCTGTAAGGGCCTGGATTAGTCCTATTGTGCAGAGGAATAGAACTCTTAAGGTTCCTGTCAGGATCATTTTCAGACTTTATGGTGATTTTCAAGCTAGTTTATCGAATGCTTCTCGACTAGAAAACTGAATCACCATGTAGCAAGTACTGTTAGAATACACTAGGGAAAGAGGCTGATGCATCTGCTACAGAGGTCTAATTGTCCAGACAAGAAGAAAACAGTTCAGGAGTGAATCTCCAGTTTATGCTTTATGATGGCTAAAGACACTAAAGTTGCTTTTGTATGCATGCAATGGAGACAAATGCTCGTTTATTTCCCCAAACACACAGAAATACATTTAAAAGAATATTCTGGGTTAGGTTTAAGCTTGTCAAATCCAGGAAACTGAGAGTTAAACTTCTCATTCTTTCCCACAAATGAAAGCTGTTGTGCTTGGTCCTTGATGCATAGCTTGAATTTTTGCAAACTTTAGGTAATTTAGAGGATTTAGGGAGGTGTGCTATAAATATTACATAACAGTAACATTCTGTGGTATTAAGAATGAATACTGGTGACTTTGTCAGTGACAGGAGGTGAAGTTTGAAACATGGAAAAGGGGCATGCAGAAAAAGATGTACAAATTGATATAGAATCAGCTCAGGCATACTAAAATATGCTAATTTTTTATCTTCAACCAGGCCTTCTCTCTGCCGACCCCCATTTCCAAAAGACCAAAATATGTTGCAAAACCAGAAAGCCAAGTACTGCAAAATGCTTCTTGGACCATCTTGGATGTGTTAACTCGAAGACTGCTGATGACTTCAGTAGATTTGAATCTTATGAATGTGTGATTGCAGTGCCTGGGGATAATGTAACCAGCAACGTGATTTATGTACATACTTTTGGACCAGAGGGAGGTACCATAGGGTAGAATATGTGTCTTTGAATAACAATGCATTATTTTATCACTGCATTTCAACGTTTTGAACAACTCGGATAATGCAGAGTAGGGGAGGAGGCTTAGACGCACAAATGACAAATCTCATCAGCTGTTTTCCCTCAGTATTCCCACAGATTTCTTCTGAGGTTGGTCTATTATCCCTGGAGCTTTCCAGTCAGAGACTTTGCAGAAAAAAATCATTAGAAATAAAATCAGGTACAGAAGAATATGAACATCTTAGACAGAAAAGGAACAAGGGAGAGAGCAAGTTTTAAAAAGCAAGACTGCTAGCATCAGGAATGGTAGAAGGCAGTGAACATTAGATGTGCTTCCCACGCATACAGGAGTTTCAACTACATTTCTTGGGTGTGTGACCCAGGTTTTAGGTGTAATGAAGATGGTTGTTAACTATCTACAGAGATAGATATCCATCACTGGTTAGGAGATAGATAACCACCACTCGAGGTAGGAGTCAGGTGCCGAGTGTGACCCTTGTGCATACATTGCTCTCAGTGACCAGGGTACTGTCCTAGAGCATGGGAACACAGTAGGCAGGGTCAGGGGCTGGTAATAGGTCAACAGCCCCCTCCCACAAGTGATAATCCAGGCCCAGGATGCATTCAGGAAAGTCAGCCAGGAAAAGAGATCAAAAGCAGTACTGGAAACAAGGCAACCACACAGGTACAAGGTCCATCCAGGACACTGGGCCAGAGGCAAAACTAGGCCTGAGCTGAAATGGGACTCCTGGACCAGTGGATGTGGGTTGGGTGTAGATGTTGGGCGAGGCCATTAATGCCTCCCGGTACACTCACGTCCTGATGGAAACATAAGCATGCTTAGGCTGTGTGGTCATTACATGGCACTGTGAAATTGTGACCAATATTTGGCGAGTTTTATGCAGCACTGTTCTGCACAGCCAGAGGGATTTATAGCCTAGTCTCAAGGAGGCTAAACAAAACAATGATTGGCTTGTTGGGGATAACATGATCTCCAGGTGGGCTGTGTTAGTTCTTTGATTATCTGTCTTTTCAAAATGCTCCCTTTCGTAAGGAGGACTCTTTCAACAGTCATATTAGGTGATGTCACTTATTAGATGCTCATCCTCCTTCTAGAACTCAAGTCTTGCCCAATTACCAAAACAGACAGTTAGTATCAGCAGAAACCCATTAGTGTGCAATGCAAAAAGAGAGAGCATGGGGTGCTGGAAAGGTTAATATGTAAGTTAGAAGCAGTCCCTGCTGCTTCTAATTGCATGCCCCAGTTCTGACCTCAGAGAATGGCAAAGAAAGGAAAATATCATTAGAAAACTACAGGTAGTGAATTTTGAGTTGCAGCTGGACTAAACATATTCAGACAGTGTTTTCTTAGTCCTTTCCATTTGTTTGAACCAAGCTGTGCTCCTGTGAACATTTTTGAACATTAAATGTCAAGGCAAAGCCAAAATTATTAATTGATATGCAGTATCCCTTAACTTGACAAAGCAAAATTAGGTTTGGATTGGCTACTTAACACTGTGGATCAAGCTAAAACATGCATTGCTTTGTTGGCTAATCACAGAAGTCAAAAGTTAGAACACACTCTTGCACGGAGAGTTAAGAAAGGACTATGCACCACCTAAGCTTTCTATCTAAAGCCCTTTCTTTGGGCTTATGATGACAGCTCACCCCATGCAGACAGTAACCTTTTGCCTTGCAAAATTCAGATATCAGTGAAAAGTCGCAAGACGTTCCAAGAATGATGGTCGCAAAAATCACAAAAGAACTCTCCAAAATGAGTAAGTTGGTAGAAAAGCTTTTACAATGGTATAACACCAATGGGGTGGGTTGAATGATGACTGTGAGAAGTGCTGAGAATCCAGCAGCCTACTGAGCGTGTCACTGATTCTGCAGGCTCAGAAACTGGACGCTTTAAAGGCTTCAATATGTTATATAGACCTCTAGTTATTCAAAAGGGTAGATCTGTAGGGATGAAAGTTTCTTTTCATATAGAGGAAGGAGTGTTGCCATTCTGGCTTTCTCCATATGGAGACATATTTCTGATTCATCTAAAAATGTCTAGTGCATATTTCATCTGAATTGTGCCTCAGATAAATTGTAAGAAAAAAAGCCACCCTCTGTAGAACAAACATAAACTGTCAGCAGATATTTTCTTTGACAGTAAGACACTATGTGGCACACACTTGCCTATCCATAGTAGACTGAACATATAAGGAGAAGACATTTGGAGTGGTTTCAGAAGCATGCTTTACAAAAAAAGAAAAAAAAAAAAAAAAAGATGCCTGTGAGATCACAGGGATCTTGTTTATTTACACTGAAGGAAATGGAGCAACACTTCTATCTAAGGAGGCAAGAAATGTGTTTCACACCAGTGGCAAAAAGCTGTCACCTTCCCAAATAGCTGAGTGCACCTAGAAATGTTGCAGGACAACAGCTTGTTCACACCTCTTGGGTTGGAGCTCCATGCTAGTGGCAGAGTGCTTTCTGGAAAATTCAGCTGCTCCCACAGTCTGTTTTCCTGCTGTTTTTCATTACTGCTTATTCTGCTTATTCCTTGAATTTTTGGCAATCTCCATGGGCATCAGATCATGTGCTCGTTTGGCACTAACAGTGTGTGCAAACAGGGTGTTGACTTGTGTATTGGGTTTATGTGGCAAGGTTTTGGTAGCAGGGGGCTGCAGGGGTGGCCTCTGTGGGCAGAGCCCAGCAGCTGCCCCATGTAAAATAAGGGCCAGTTTCAGCCGGCTCCAAAGGGGCCTGCCACTGCCTAGAGCCAAGCCAATGTTGTTTGTGCCTGTGTGTGACCATATTAAAGAAAAGGAAAAGAAAAACCTGCTGCAGCGCAGCAGCTGGGAGAGTGAATAGTGAGAACCAGCCCTGCAGACACCAAGGTCAGTGCAGGAGGTGCTCCAGACATGGAGAAGCAGTTCCCCTGGGGCCTGTGGAGAGGCCCCTGGTGGAGCAGGCTGTCCCCCTGCAGCCCATGGGTCCCACATGGAGCAGATCTCCGCGCTGCAGCCCCCCCATGGGTGGAGGAGCCCCCAGTGGAGCAGGTGGATGTGGCCTGGAGGAGGCTGTGGCCCATGGGGAACCCCCACAGGAGCAGGCCCCGGACCGGAGCTGCAGCCTGTGGAGAGGAGCCCACGCAGGAGCAGGGGGTCTGGGGGGAGCTGCCGCCCATGGGGGACCCGTGCTGGAGCAGTTTGCTCCTGGGGGATGGACCCCATGGTACGGAGCCGTGTGGGAGCAGTGCTTGAAGAGCTGCTGCCTGTGGGCAGCCCACACAGGCTCAGCTGAGGAAGGATGGCATCCCATGGGAGGGACCCCGCGTGGAGCAGGGGCAGAGAGGGACCAAGAAGGAGCAGCACAGGAAAGATGGTTGATTGAAAGCTGGATCCTGGACTGTATAGCCCCCTGCATTAGGCTTCAAGCTTTCTAACCACAATCACCTGGCTGGGATTACATACAGTGTTCACAGTATGTCATGCTTTTCTTTCTGTGGATTGTGTCTCTAGCTCTTCTGATAGTGGCTGAAGAAGCTACTGAAGAAGCAGGATGAAGAAGCAGAATGAAGCAGGGTGAAGAATGAAGCAGAACCAGTCTAGATTGTCAGAAAGGACAGCGAAAACTGATGGAGATTTCCAGTGTCTCAAGCCATTCTTCTCTTTCTTCCCTAACATTAAGAAGAGTTCACATTGGAGGGTCCTAACCTCTTCAGGGCTAACCAAAAGTTAAAGCACTATCTATGTCATTATCGAAATGTCTCTTGAACACTGCATACATGTGGCATCAACCATGTCTCTAGGAAGTCTGTTTCACTGTTTGTTCACCCTCATGGTAAAGAAATTTTTCCTCATGTCCTGTCTGAACCTCCCCTGGTGCAGCTTTTTGCTGTTCCCACACATCCTGCCTTTCAGTTCCCTGGGAGCAGAGGCCGTCACCCCTCTCTCCAATTCGCCTCATCTGGAAGCTGTAGAAAGCAGTGAGGTTGCCTCTTGGCCTCATTTTCTCCAGACTAGACAACCCAAGGGTACTGAGCCCCTTTTCATTGGACATGCGTACATCTTGAAGCTAAGGGTAACAGTCTTACATTATCTTTGTTGTTATTTCAGGGTGTGCTGGGTCTGAGGTCACCTTCTCCCCAGCAATTTCCTCCTCCCGCCTCTCTGTAATGGCTCTGATTACAGCACCTATTGCTATTACCACCATCAGATATCCTGGGGAAGAATTTCAAGCCCTAGAAGCCCTGGGGCAAGCATGATTACTTTATAATAAGAAAAGAGTAAGTGGTGCAGCCCAGTGAATAAAAGCACTGACAGAGACTCTAACTCAAGGCTTAAATTTGAAGCTCACTTGGATGACCTGAAGCAAGTCTCTGGCCTCATTTTTTTTCACCTCATGTGATGAGACAGTAAACTTAATAATCTCTTACAGTGTGTTTGCCCAGACTCTACCAGCGGATCACTTTTGCTCTTCAGGGAGACATCTAAGTACTATTGTAGCACCATAACAAATCATTTTATAAAGCCAAAAAAGACCACAGCAATCATCAGGTTTGGTATCTTGCCATACACAATAATAAAGAAAACCAAAAGTACTTGAAGAAGATGAAAATGTAAGTTTAATTGGCCCCTGTTCATACTTCTGCCTTTGAACTGTGTGATATGAGAGTCTGGTTCTTCATATACAGTGTAAGAATACTTCAGGCAGCTTGAATGAAAAAAAAAAAAAAAAGAAAAAAAAGATTTACTGTACCACACTTTAAACTTCACCTCAGAATTTGACCCTGGGCAGCCACTAGTAGTTACAGCTGGAAAATTTCACAGCATGGCTGTCTTGACATGTAGTTATTCCTCAACATTCAAAAGTTGGATGAATCAAAACATTTGAAAATATTAATGTGCCTGTTTGCTATGGATCCCTCTCTCCTGTGGCCTGAAGGCAAGATAAGAACAAATAAGTACATATGTTAATATTCCTCTTTTGAATTTAATTTTGCCAAAGTCCATTAAAGAGGTTAACCATTTCCATGAAGGTCTGAAATGGAAAACAGAGCAGAAATCAAAATGACATTGAGATTTTAGAAAATTCGTCTTTAAGTTTCTATTTTTTTTAACTTGTTTTTCATAGCTGTTTTTGCAGTTCTTTGTAAGCCTTGTGGTACCTTGCTGACCTCTCCATCAATGGATAATTAGAAGGCCATCAAGTTCTCAGTGACAATGATATCCAGATGTCCTTTTAAACACATGGTTGCTGGGTAACAGGACCTTGCACTGCATTCCTTCTTTGAAACATTTGTCCTATTTTTCATGTATTCCTGCCAGTAAGTATGTCAGCATTCAGCCAATGTGCTGGAGGGCAAAATGCTAGCTGGAGATTTTTGATATCATGTGCTACTTCCCAAAAGGAAAATAATCAGAACAACCAGAGAGCTCTGATGTGTTGCGCTGCAAAGGGCTGCATCAACTTGACTTCCACTTTCATACCAGATTTCTCTGGCTGAATTGGTCTTGGGATGGGAATGCATGAGGATTTACCTTCTTGTTACTGTTTAGTAGTTCTTACTCTTGAAAAACAACAAAATTTAAAGCACAACTAAGGACACAAGAATTTGGCCTGACAGATCTGAATGACCTTTTGGATCATAACAAAGGATTTTTAAAAATTCCACTTGTGACAGTGACCAATGTATTTCGGGGAAAAAAAAAAAAAAAAAAAAAAAAGTGAAGTCAAATGACAACCATGTGTAGTTTAGCAAGGAATCTGCAAGGCTGTGTTTAAACTTTCTTAGTCATGTTCCAAAAGCCCTTGAGAAACCCAAAGTCCTTGCAGCCTGCCATGGTGTTCTTTTGCCCGTGTATCTTATGATAACCTCTATTTGTATGACTTTTAAGGAGCCATTGTTCCACTTACCTAAAAAACAAACAAATGAACAAAAACAAACAAACAAACAAAAGTGAAGAACAACAAAAAAAAGCAAAGAGTACAGAGAAAAATGAGAAAACCCAGAGAGTGAAAGTCATTTTGGGACTAATACTGAACTTGTATAAATAATAGGGAGTTTTTTAAAAAAGGTAGAGCTTTGTCATGATATGTTACACGTACAAGGATTAAGTAAGTGACTGTACATCTGACTACCAATGGAGAAAAGAGAGAAAGAATCAGTATCTGTTCCAGTAATTCCCTCAGGACTTTGTCTTTTCAAAGATGTTTTCCTCTCCAGGATTGTTTTTCTGGTTTTGGCCCTCCTTAGCTAGTGAACTAGTGAGAACAAAATAAACAGTGCAAAAGGCTGAACAAAATCAAAGTGCATAAAGGCTGAACAGTGAATCTGTTAAGGTATCCAGAAGCAGACTGCATAGGGTAGGTATTCCTGTGTCAAAATTATGTGTGATCACATTGTTAAAGACTGTGTCAACACAAAAAGCATAAAGAAGCAAACTGGTAGCTTCTTTCTTTTTTCTTTTTTTTTTTTTTTTTTTTTTTTTTTTTTTTTTCCTTTTTTTTTTTTTCCCCCCTGTTTTAGAGGAGCCCAGCTTTGTAACTTTGATGCTAACAGTCTGTTTGATTTAAATAATAATATGCAAATAAACATCATATGAGAGTGAGAGCAAATGCATTTGCATACAAAGTATATATAGCATACTCACTGTCATTTAATATATATGGGCTAAATTCTCCTCTCAGATACAATGGTATAAATGCAGATTAAAGCTATTGGATGTGACAGAATTAATATAATTTCACCAAAATAAATGGACGGAGGGAGATTTTTTTCTAAAAAAATAGCTTCTTATGAAAACTACCTCTTAGTCCATGATGTTTCATCAAGATCTTGTGTGAAGGAATAAATTGAGCCATTCCTCCCCAAAGCCTTTAAAAGACATGTTGCTTATTTGCTTGTAACCAAATAATTCAGCAGGAAACCAGCAGACAATGGGAAAGCCTACTGCAAGAGGAAAAAAAAAAAGTTTGACAGCACTAATGAATAGCTTTGGGCAATATATCTTATTGATGACTGCTTCCTTGCTCCTCTCACAAAGACTCCTTCCCATAGCCCTCAGGGTCAGCTGCTGTGGACGTGAATACAACGCAGCACTTGAAAGAATGCTTTCTTCCTCCATATCTAAGGTATTTTTGTGCTCTCCCTCTCCATGGAACTGGGCTCAGATAGCATTTAAGATGCTTCAAGTGCTGCGAACACGGCTCAGGCTTTTCGCTGACCCTGCAGGGAGGGCTGCTCCAGCATATGGGAATGATTTGAGATCCAGATGTTAGCAGGACCAGAGGAACCAGTGGGCAGCTCTTGCCTGGTTCCAGCTGATAACTGTTTTTAGGTGGGCAGATGCTTGGCTCATACATAGCAGATAACAGTCTTGACAGCTGCTCCGTGGATCCAGGATGAGGAAAATGATGTATGAACAAGGTATGATGAGGTGAAGAGTGGAGCTGAGACCAACTTCTGCTCTGCATCTCAGTCACCCGGAGAAAGGTTGTACAGTTTATGCCTGAAAATGCAAAGTTTATGAGAACGAACAACTAGACATGAGATTGCTAAATGAACTCTGGATGTGCTTATTTAATTATCTCATGAACATGAACCAAAAGACTATGTTTAGAAAACAGTATTTATGAAGAGAGTTGTGGGTGTGTGGGCAAATGATGTAATTAATTCCATATGTAGTTTTCCTAGTGAAAACTTCAGTATTTGCTGAATTCCCCCTCAGTTTTCCTGTGTAGATTTAGTGAGGAAAAGACGGGATGGGGGAGAAATTATCTTTACAGTCATCAAGTCTGCTGCACTAATCTCTAAGAATAGGTGGGTATACATACCTGGGTGCACAAGACCCAGCTCAAATACTTTCTCAGCTTTAAGGGAAGTAATCCCTGCATTATTGGTGTTTTGCTAAGCAGTTACTCAGACTGTCACCTTTCTGTCCCTGATGCTGCTTAATGAACCTGTGAATGGGCCCTAGCTTTGTACCCTGCAAAATCAGAAGAAGAGCTAGAGGCAAGGATGAAGTGTAAAATTAGATGATGGCAGGTTACTGGAGCAGTGCTTCTGTTGATAGATCTTTTCCAGAATGTAGTGGTAATCTTGTGCAAACCAGAGAATTTATTCTAATTAAAAAAGCCAGTCTTTTATTTATTTATTTATTTATTTATTTATTTATTTATTTTACTGTAAGCAACCAAGACAGAGGTTGTCTAAAGTACCCATAATATTCACTCTTTATATATTCAGGTTTTGCTAAGAGTTAAAAAATGTCTCTTTTAACCTGAAGAAATGCTGATTGTTTCAGAAGTTTTGGATCCAGTCTTTATTTGTTCACCATGAGAAATGTCCCTTTTAAGAAAGAGAATTTCAGTTCTATTGTTCTTGGATTTACTTTGCCAAGTAACTGGACAAAAGATTCTAAAATCACCAGGACATGTTAGCCAAAATCTCCTCTCTAGTAACTCTTCTGTTCGCAATGGTGTCCAAACTTTTTTTCCTTGTTTCTCTCGGTCTTGCCCAGACTTGCTCTTTTTCCCTCTCACTTTTAGTTCTGGTTCCTCACTTCAGCGCTGCTATTTGAGAGTTATTCTCCTATTTTCCCTGATCTGTAAGCATCTTCATGCTTCTTGGGCTGCCAACAGCAAAGAGGTCATAGCAGCTCAGCAGAGCCTCAGGAGAGCAGAACAAAGATGTTATGACTGCAAGGATGCAGCATGCAACAAACTTTGGCCAGCTTCACCGTGTCAGACATGTGAGCAGGAATGAAAGGAAGACCAGTTATTTCCCACAGACCACCCAGGGCTGAATTTGCACCTGAGTGAGTACACAGTTATTGTAACAGTAAAAAGTTTTGGACTTGTACGATTTCCATTTTTTGTTTTCTTTTTTCTTTTTCTGTTTTATCCTCTTATAGATTCTTTTTTCCAATTACTGCTTTAGAAACTTTCTCATGTTGTACCTCTCAAGCCAGTGGGAAACATAATAATAAACACATCTGTTGGTTTTACTTCATTGTGTTTACTTAAGCAACGTGACTTCAGATGATCCAGTCCTATGGGGTGACTTTAATGGGTACTTGTCTCTGCAGAACACTTACTGATTTCATTTTCTGTCCTTCCTGTGGAAAACCTGGGACTACTTCCATAAGAAATGAAGTATGAACTATGTCCCAAATTACACTGTGTAACAGAAGAACCTCTCGAGGACAATGCCTCCTACTCGGCACCAGGCAGAGTGAGGCCCTTTTCTGGATGGGTCTTTTAAGTTTTACCATATAGACTAGGAAAGATCTGTATAAATATGGGCATATATATATGAAAAGTGTCAAAGGGAGACAGATAACAGCAACTTCACAACTCCCTGTAGCTCTCTCTCCCCATGAGACAGTTGTGGATTTGGAAAAAACAAAACAAAAAACAAACAAACAAAACAAAACAAAAAATGGAACTGCATCCTGTCCTGCACATTCATAATATCAAAAGGCTCACAAGATCCAAATGGAGTTCCTGTGTTCTCCCTAACCCCTTTAATTGGCTCACCTGGTTCCAGTTCTCCGAGAAGAGTCTCTGGACTCATCCAGTCTCTGAATGTGTGCCAAAATCTCAGGAGAGGAAATCAAATGCCATTTCCCACCTTCTCCTTATTAGGAGGCATGGGAAGGATTTGCTACATAGAGGATCTCTTCAAGGGGGAGAATGAAAGCCACGATCACAGCCAGCAAAACCAAAGGAGAGCCTGTGTTTTTCCATTTTCCATGGAATAAACAGCATTGAAAATGATAGTTTCTGCAAAGAAAATGAGATCAAATATTTCTTCTTTGTAGAATTAATAGAAAAGAAAGTACTTTCAAAGACAGAGAGAACTATAAAATTAAGAAACCTTTATGCAATTACAGTATCCCTTCAGTGCATACTGTTCTTTTGCAATGTGCTTGCTCTTATTTGACCCAGAAAGCCTAAGAGATACATAATTCAGTGGGTGTTCCCTGTGGTGTTCTAGATGCAAACACAACTAGGAACTGTGGCAATGAAGGAGGCTGTAGGCTTCAACAGATGTTACGAAATTCATATAAGTTGACAGGAGTACAAGTAACCCAGATTTGATCTGGCCTGCATACAAATTCAGCCTCGTAGGAGATAAGATATCTAAATTGTTCAGATAATAATCACTTTAAAAATAACAGGTAATGACCATGCTCCTAACTTCCTTGAAAAAAATAATCATGAGATCAGATGGTAGATCAGAGAGTTTAAAACAGTGAAGTATGTACAGAAATCATGATGAAACAGCAAGGGAAACATGACAAATTCAGAGTTCTAATTATGTGGTATGGAGATTTTATTGGGGATACCGACAGAAGTGTGTCCAAGTTTTGATCTCCCCTGTAAAGAGAGACATGGAGCTGCTGGAGAGAATCCAGTGAAGGGCCACAAAGATGATGAAAGGACTGGGGCAACTCTCCTGTGAGGAGAGGCTGAGAGAGCTGGGACGCTCAGCCTGGAGAAAAAGAGGCTTGTGGGGATCTCATCAGTGTCTATACATACCTGAAGGGTGGGTGCAAAGACAGCCAGGCTCTGTTCAGTGCTCAGCACCAGGAGAAGAGGCATTGGGCACAAATTGGCACACAAGGAGGCTCCCTGTGAACATCAGGCAGCTCTTCTGTGCTTTGTGGGTGATGGAGCACTGGCACAGGATGCCCAGAGAGGTTATGGAGTCTCCTTGGAGATCTTCATGGCATGGTCCTGGACATGGTCCTGGGCAGCCTGCTCTGGGTGCCCTGCTTGAGCAGGAGGTTGGAGCAGATGAACTCCAGAGGTCCCTTCCCCCACAAGCCATTCTGTGATGCTACGAAGGGAATTACAGCCCTTGCAGCTCACTGTAGGAGCTGAATCAGAGATGAAGTGGTGGTTCAGTGAATGAATGGAATGGTATGAAAAGTATAGGGCTCAGTTTTCCAGTGACATCAAACACATTTTCCAGCCTCTTCTTCATTGAAATTGGAATTGTTTAGTAAAGACAACTGCGATCTGCAGATCTGTAGAGTTTGTTTGTTTGTTTATTTGTCTTTGTTGGTTGTTTTGTTTTGTTTTTACCATAGCTAGGGACTAATATAGCAGGTGAGGATGATGTTACTTTTGGAAGGACAACAGTCCTTTTTACAAACAGCCTATTTTCCACCCTGGAAAATTAGATTTTATCTTGTTAGTAATGTCTACTATTGTTGCCTTCACAGTGAAAGATTTGGAATGGAAATGCTGAAGCTGGAAACTCAACATTTTGCAGCACATCCTGAAAACAGAGTCCCAGCTGTTAGGCAACTGCTCCCAGCTCTGCCTTACACACATCATGCCAAGGCATGGCTCTTCCACCACCATTCCTGCTCTCAAAGGTGTCCTTCACATAGGCATTGGTTTCACTGCATTAACTTAGTATTGCAATCTGCAGATGACAAAAGTCTGTACGGGGAGATGGAAACCACAGAGATAAGGGAAAATGCTGGGATTTCCTCCACAAATTTTGGTTCTTTTACAAAGGGCGGGCTGTAAAGTTGATGCAGAGGCCACGCACATACTCTGTAAGCTGCCTGAAGAAAGTCATGGTCCAGTGTTTTCTACAACTCCCTGGGAGAAAACAAACAAACAAACAAAACAAACAAACAAACAAAGAACACAGAGGTTTTTCAAACATTCAAACAGCATATAAACAGTCCTAAGTTTTCCTCTTAATTTTGTAGACTTGCTTTATTGGACAGAAAAGCACTTCAGAGGTTTCCTCAGTCTCCAAGTGCTATATTCCTGTAGCAGTAATAAGATGATTATTCCAAACCCAGGATGGGGTGGGGGCTTGGATAAAGGTGAGAGATTCGTTCTCTGCAGGAAAAGGAAGGATCCAAACTTTTACTCACTCTAATCCTCTAACTCCGCTACACAAGTGCCAGGATCTCTCTTTAGCAGTAGCTGCATCATGGGGTTCACAAAACGAGAATACTCAGAAAAATTGTTTGCTGAATACCAAATATTCACAGGAAGAAGGAGGGGTAAATTATGATTTTAAATAGGAGATTTCCTAGTTCTTTAAAAGTCAATTTTTTCTTTTTTGTTCAACTGTCTGCTGGACTTTTTCTTTATTTATATTGGAAGCAGCAGAAGTGTGATTCCCTACACCATGAGGCTGCAATTCCAGAATACTCTGGAATGAAACCCTATGGCCAAGAACAGGCTGTACTATGTGAAGAACAGAGGATGTTGGTTGTTCTAACAGACCAAAAAATTGTGATTGAGTCCCAGTCAGGTTGGTGAATGACTTAGGTAATATTTTCAAAGTATGGTTTGAGCAGAAACCTACAGGATTTCGGTTGGAGTGCACTGAAGATTTATACAGTAGAAAACAAATCATTTGTCTTGTACCAAAGATAAATGACAAAAAGGAACAACATCAAATTCTTGACACTTTGGGCAATATTTTACCCTTAACTTACTGTCTATCTCATAACTTCTGCATTTCCAAAAGCACCAATGGGCACATTAGAAAGTGCACACTATGGATCTTTATTTCACATAAACCTCTTTTCCACTTGATCACAAACAAAAGCTTTACAAGGATAATGCCCCACAAGAGAAAAAGGCATCCTTTTCTCAGCACCTGGAAGCTGAATGTAGGCAAGGAAAAGGAAGCAAAAAGGTAACTGAGGGGATATAATACCCAGTGGTGTGCAGCCTGAGGGTTCGGGTTAGCCCCTTCTGTTTTGAACAGAAGCTGTTTTGAATTTAATGAACTAAAATGAGATAAATAATCCAAAACAGATGCTAAAAAGAACTAAAAAAGCCCTAATTTAATAATGGACAGATAACAGATTGTATTGTCAAACTGATTAAATAACATGCTTCTTACTTACATTTTGTCTGTCCGGTTTCCACCTGAATTACCACCATATTTGTCACAGAAACACTGATAGCAGAAGTTAGTCTTATTTGATGTATTGGTTTGGAATATGGGAGACTTCAAATCAGTTCCTGGCTCTGACCTGCGTTTCTGTAAACAGTGCATGCCTGAGTTCTCCTGAGGATACACAGAAGTGATAGCACCAGTAACACTGCCTTTGCCTGTCCTGACCTTATAGCATGATGTTCGGCACCGTGCAGTGCCTCATACACTCCAATCTTGCAAATAATAATAATAATAATAATAATAATAATAATAATGATGATGATGATGATGATGATAATAAAAGTAAAACAGCCAGTAATTTTATCAGGCCTATAATGTTAATGAGTAAAATGTCTATCTTCTACTGTAACTGAATCATTGTAAAACTATGGGGCACAATTTTTGTCCCAAATCGTGCCTTTGATTCACCAAGGCTATCTTTCAGTGGAACACAATGTAGGGTCCATTCAGTCTGGAGTGAGTGTTTGCTGCAAATCCTCTAAACCCCCATTGTGACATTTGCCCTGCAGGCACAGACTGTGGACATCAGAGACAGTGCAGGCCTGTAATGGCATTTGTGAGAATAATAGAATACCCATCAGACTGTAATTTTCCTCACTCCAGGGTCCAGAGCTGAGAAAAGGTTAGTCCTACAGGCCTAAGGGAAACTGTGGAGCACAATGGAGTTCACACTGCCGCATGACTGTTATAATTCCTTGACTTGATAATCACTGCTATTGTTGATAACCATCTCAGTTTCTGAGGAAATATAATAAAGTGAGCTCAAGGCTTGGCACTGAAGAAGTTATTTATTTTTGCAGAGATAATATGCAGCTTTATCTGTTTATTTATTTATTTATTTTTTCTGTTGCAAATGCTAAATTAAACATGGTAAAGGCAGAATCTCGAACCCTCAGGCATCTATGACAAAATGCAAATTTCCTGCTGCTTAGCTACAGCACCACGAAGCTCTTTGTTGGGAGCTCTTCACTCTGTAGAGAAAACAGAATATTTGATCCTCTTTCCATTGATGTCAATAGGGCTTTAAC